AAAAAATATGTCGCGTACAGGGGTAGAACACGGCACTGTCATTAAAATCTAAAACCTTCTAATTTCCAGCACCATAGTCTATATCTCTCGGTACCACCGGACCATGAAAGGATTACGCCGAACATTCATAAACAGCAGAAAAGTTTATAACCTTCACTAGAAAAGGAGTTATTATAAAATAGTCAATTATAATGACTAAAGTAAACCGTTCCGTAATGCTAAATTTTTCTTGATTGTTAATTCATTTCATTTTTAACGTCTATAGTACAGCTTAAATACCATTCAGATCAAATTCGACGTTCTGCTTTGTCAGATGATGTCCTTTTCATATTCTCCCAAACGCAATAAGCATAGCCAATTTATAAAATTTTACTACCCCAATCTACGTAGAATTATTTGCTTTTTGAATGGTGAAGCATTACTTGCATTATCTCCCATTTTTCCAAGTAGTTATCTTTCTCTGACCTATAATTTTGATTGAGGTCCATTGGCAGGCATCTTTTGAGATTGACATTCGTTTATGCATATTACCGCAAAAGGAAGTGGAGGAGGGCGGGAGGAGGGGTAGGGGGGGGGGGCGCATGGGGGAAGGGGAGGGAGGGGGTCTACGGATGGGTACCTTTAGGGGAGGGGTCGTAAATAAGGGTCCCGGATCGCATCAGCAAGCTTGACCCTGCTTGGGGACCGTCGAATTTCAAATTGTAAGGCTTTGAAAAACGCATGTTCTCACTGTTTCCAATGTGGCTTTTCGGATCCAACGTTGCAGATAACCCCGGGTAAGCGGATTTTCCGAAGATCGAGTTTTTACCCGAACACTGAATTTAGGGCAAGTATAACGTATAAAACTTAGCGATAACGTATAAAACTTAAGGGCTAAAGATACAGGGTGATTAGAAGAAGCAAGTAGATTAATAGCGTCCAGCATTCAGCGCGGACTTCTTGATTTTTTCCAATTTTTTACCCTCGGAACGAAAGAGACTGAAAGCAGTTTTGAAAAATGGCGGTAGGCGTGCACACTACAGCAAAACTTCAAACAGGTGAATTAACAAAAACATAATTTATGGCGATTTTCTGAGTGATTTATTATGGCGTATACCACAGCACTTCGGACCAAGATCTCTTGTAATGTTGAAATTCTACTGCTTAAAAAGCTCTACCTTCCTTGTTAGCACTAGTTGAGAATTTGGCAGCAGCATTTGTAAATGCGGTATTGCCCCCTTTCATTTGATCTGCTCAAAATCATAAACAATAGCAGTCAGAAAGTGCAACATAACAGCAAGCAAATCATTTCGCAAAGATGTTTACGATTAAAACTTTCATGGCCAAGATTCCATGTATTAAACTGATTACAAGATATCGGCTATTTCTGCACACGTTACACAGACATAGGACCTACTACTTAATAAAGTCCGTGCATTTAATTGGTCAGTTTGTTTTGATGGTTTGCAAATCAAGGAGAATCGGATGCTTAAAGGCGCCGTCCACCTGATTTTCGACTTCCACGTTTTTGCCGTTTCAGGGCCTTCTCATGTCCTTGATTCCGAATATGTGGAGAATGCCAAAACCCCGACAATCCCCGTTCCGGAGAACCCACAGGCCGGCCCTCTGGAACGGTGATTGGACGGACGCGCACAAATGGGCGGGCATGGATGGGGGTCCTCGTGCATCTTCGCTATTCCGAAGCGATTTTCTCGCTTCCGAAGCGGCATTTTGCGCCGGGACATGGGCACTGGATTGATAAGGGGCTCTACTATTATATGCTGCCAAAACCTGAATACTCTCAACTTAGGGTGGACGGTGCCTTTAACCTGCTTGGTTATTAATTGTTCTTCTGATCACGAGATGGTGCAGGAAAAAAGAATGGTCAGATTTTTTCCGTAGATTCTTGAAAAATCATGTCCCATATAACAAACTGATGTCAAGTGTAAAATGTAGATGCCTGAAAAAACCATAGTGGCTGCGGAAATTCCCACACAGCAGATCACAATGTCATTCGCCATCTAGACAATGACTGTTGTACCTAGCCACCAATTTGCCTTCCTGTGCACTCACTATAGGCTGAAAAGGAATTTGAGAAATTCAAATAAAAAACGATTTTTTAGAAGTCTGACCATATTAGGGCATAACTGCCAATTTTGGTGACGGAAAACTTGACTACTTGATCTTTGAGAGTAGAGCCATCAAGCTATCATCTCGCAAAAAACCTTATCAAATAGCTGCTGCATAAATTGTTTCAGAGCTTTGAATTTGCATGTGTAAACGAACTTATTTATTAGCCAAACTGATAGTATGCAAAATTTTGCGACCTTGATACTCACCATGCTATGAAATGTTGTGCAAAAGATCTGTAGTAAGTCACTGACATCAGATGAATTGACACAGTTTCCGGCACTTCTTGAAAAATAAGTAACTCCTTGATTTTGTGTTCTTTGTGAGTGATATTGTGCCGAACAGGTTTTTATGGTAGATCTTTATTGCCTGACGTTTCGACACGTATCGTCTTCTCGGAGGCCTTGTCTAGAATCGACGTGCTGGGATGCAATCCGAAGTAACAGTCACCAACTTTCGATCCACCGAAGAGTTAGTCAGCCCGCATCACTGATGTCCGTCACAGTCGTGCGGGCTCACGGACATCACTGATGTCCGTCACAGTCGTGCGGGCTGACTAACTCAGCGGTGGATCGAAGGTTGGTGACTGTTACTTCGGATTGCTTCCCAGCACGTCGATTCTAGACAAGGCCTCCGAAGAAGACGATACTTGTCGAAACGTCAGGCAATAAAGATCCACCATAAAAACCTGTTCGGCACAGTATCACTCACAAAGTACACGAAATGCCTAGGTTTAAAAAATAGAGCACATGGAAGCAACTCCTTGATTTTACTATTGTTGACAAGATCAAAATACGCGCATATAAGTATGTATGTCAGCACGGGAGACGGTCGAATGGCGCCTACTTATCGATTGTTACTAACTGGAAGAAACAATAAATAAGTTCAGATTCAATTCGCTACTTTCGGATTCTGAGTAATTATCCTTAGTTACACTTCCTGGTGCATTGACAAGAATCTCGGAACCTGGAAACCTCGCTCTTGTAGCAAAAGGATTCAGTCTGGGAATGACGGCTGCAAAATAGCGCGCCATTTGACATACACCCTGTCAGCACCATAACTGTTCTAGAGCAAAAAGCAAAGAGCAAAAATGAAGAACAATGAACACGAACAACACTCTTCTGCGACACGATCCACAAATTTTAGCAAGCGGGCGTACTTGATATGCGTCAGCTGGTGCTTCTGACATATCTGTCCTTTGTGGGCCCCCAAATAGGACCCGATCACCATCTTTGGAAGTGTTTATCAACGTCCCACTCGCTGTTTAGGTTATCAACAAGTGCCCGGACAGGCGAGAGCGCCATCCCACGGTTTATGCAAGTTTGAGGCGCGTGGGCCAAACGGGCAGCAGAGCCCGACCTGTCGAGATCGAACACGATTGGACACTTGCCGCCCGACAGACCAAACTTGCCAGATCGGACCATGTTTTCAAACAGAAGCCCCATCATCAGCTTGGCTTCGTGTATAGCAGGCGCCAATGCCCACGCCTATACGTGCTGTGACCTGTACACGAATTAATTTATACACTAATGATCCTGTTTCGCCTCTACCCTTTCCCATTAGGGAGGTTTATGAATACCGCCCCTTGGCTTCATGTGCGGGCGTTAGTGCTCACGTCTATACGGGTTGTGAGTTTATATATACCCCCCAGAACTGCAACGGGTGTATGTCAAGAGGCGCGATTTTTATTGCCAGCTGGACACCAAATAGCAGATAATAAGTGTTTTGCAACTTTCTAAAAGTATATGAAATTTAGAAGAAGATATATTAGATAGTTGCATGAGTTGTTCAATCTTGATACTCTAGAAAAAATTCAAAAGAGCTATTTTGAAGGTCAAAAACTCATGAAAATGCATTTCAGAACAAATTCGTAAACATTTCAGCCCGATTTATAGCAAATACCATGAAACTCAGCAAGTGGTGACCTCAAATAGATAGTAAGCTAATGCACTTTATCCGGTAATTTTTTGAAGACTCGCATAGCACTAAACTGGAGTTTTAATTTGGTGACAGCCAGAGAAATCGCGCCTCTTGACCGTCTCCCAACTGCAACGGGCATCTGCGGAACGCTTCTATAAGGGGGGTTGAGGGGTGGGTGTGTTTTGGGGGACGGTCAGGAGGTACGGTAGGCGCGATTTTTTCGCGAAGCGACGCCGCAACGCATTTCAACCAGTGCAGTAACAGCATTCTAGGTGTAACATTACTTATGGCATCGAGTCATGTATCGGTCCCCACTCCCACCCCCGTGTTTTTGCCGCCGGAAACCTTTGATAGTGGGAAGTTTCATGGGTCCCAAGACTTGGATGCGGCGTGAGCGGCAAGCGGCCGCCGCGCGCGGCGTACTTCCTGACGTGCAGCCGTGTGTTTTTTTTCCAAAGCCTGAGACCTCCCTTAATAGTCTAAAGCAGTGCGGAGCATGATACAAAGGCTTCGGTGTGGAAAGCGTTAAGCCACTTGTTTGCTGAGCGAACTCATTTTGATGGAGTCCACCCCTATAACCAACATTTGTATCAATACACATCAAATTATATAAATCGGGAAGACTGTGACCAAATTACATAATTTCTGCAAAAAATCCATCATTCCCATATTTGGGACAGTAGACCAAGGCATAGTAAGACTCGTTGTCCGACCTGACAGGTTTGGTCATGTCGAGAACGGCAGACCGGGGTCTGCTCCTCGTTCAGGCCATGCGCCAAGCTTTTATAAATCACAGGATGGGCGCTCTCGCTCCTTGGCCGGGCACTTATTTATATGCAAAAACAGCGCTCGAACAGGGAGCAGAAATTGATAGATGCCGCCCCTGGAATCATCATTCCAAGCGGACTTCGATGGTTCACGCCTCATACAGAATGAGGTCGACTTGGGATATTGCTTATGAGATATTTGTACTGCAAATTTATTCTTCATTTTCAGTAGAGTTTTTCAAGATGACTTTGAGATACACAATAAGAGACCATGTCAGGAGAGAAGAGAGACTGTAAAGAGAGACTTGTGCTAACGGCAAAAACAATGGAACCATTATATGTAAAAATTATATATGCGAATCGTATTCTACCAATCGTCAAATACTGAGAAGACTGTATCAATTTCCAAATTTTGTTAACTCCATATATAGACAAACTTATGTTACATTAGATGTAAATATTGAAAATATGTAAGGTAAAGACTGAATCTTAATCAGTGATAGAAAGGACGCTTATGTCCACTTCATTGATCATATCCTTATCTTCAGTAACTATGTTTGCAGCCTTCGAAGCCGTTTCTGTTTTATAGAGTTGTGATAGTTTGCGCATGACCTAAATATTCAAAAATGTACATGAGATCAACGACCAACCTCAAAATAAAAGCGATATGTTAGTTATAGGCGGATACAAGTCCCTCACCTCTCCGTGCTTCATACCGGGCTTCTTGTACTTTCCATAATTCTCTTTGACAAATGCAGCAAATGGATTGTTGCCTGATTCTCTTGTGGCTTTCATACGTGGTTGTAGAGTGAAGCGGCACTTGCAAATTCCACAAATCTTTCGCTCTATGTCCAGCGACTTCGTGTGACGTTTCACCCTCAAAGTTGAATCATCCAACGGAGCTAAGCTTTTCAATGACCATTCCAGTAAAGGGAATTCACGCCTTCAAAGCCTTATGAGTTGATTTTGATTGCAATCCTGTTCATCAACAAGTTATATGCATTTTACATGCGCGCAAATGGCTCGTTTGATAATTTAAGTGATACGGATGTACTAAAAGTGTTTCATTCGAAGTGGCCTTTCCACCAAATTCGCGATTTTGAAGAGCACTAAATGCTGATTCCAAGTCTGCCTTCAGTGTGCAGCTTTGACTATGTCGTGCGCATTCCATGGAAAGTAAAAATGAAAGCAGGATCCAAGTAAAATCAAGTGTAACAATTTCTCCCGCATAAATGGAGGCAGTAATGAGTAGAGTGTATCAGATAGAAAGTCATGGCACAGATGCCGCGATAGTTTGGATGATTTTCCCAGTAACCCCGTAAGCGTTCAATTTTTGGACATGAAGACGCTCATACCCGGCGCGCAATAAATACCAAAGATCAGCGCTTCATAAGGGCATGAAATTCATTTGAAAAGGCCATTCCAATTGTAGTACTTCTCTGTGAGTTGACTGCTACGCGAAAAACTCGGAAAAGATTCCCTGTTTTCTTCTTGAAACTATTTTTGCCCCAAGTAAACGATAATTCATAGATGTACCCTAATTTCACGGGCGGGCCTAATTCATCTTTTCAAGCAAGCAGCTCGGCCGCATCACCCTGCTTCGTGGAATTTCTTGGTGTCAGGTTGGCTGAATTTAGAAAAAAAAAAGTGCGTGTAGATACTCGAGGAATCAGGGTAGTAACTGTTTATCAAATTCTTTTGACACAATCAAGCACGGTCAGATGTCCGCTGTTGACTGCCTAGACAATTGATGAGGGGGGGGGGCAGGCGGGCATCGAAAAGAAAAAATGACTAACTTTCTGCACTCCGCCCGCGGAATTTCAAAAAATTAACTATGAGCTTTTGCTAGGATTCTTGTTGTCTTCTTAACTCTAGAAAAAAACAGCAACTCGTCTGCAAAAAAAAAAACAACGAAGAAGGGTTTTACAAGCGGCAAGGGAAAGTGCGCCTACAGTATTTCAAAATTCTGCGAGCTCTACATGAAAAGTCAGCAATGCCTTTTTTCGGTGGCCGCCTACCCCCGGCGATGTCTGAGCACGTGCCGGCCCCGGATCATAGACGCATAAAAACGTCATTTCTCCATGTTTACCAATTTCTATACTACAAGAATTCGAGATATAAATCACAGAGCAGATGACAGAAGAGAAAACGCCATATCGAATCACAGCGCCAACCTTTTGCAACATTTCTGCATATACTTGTACTCTGTGTCAGCTACCGTCTGCATCCCAGAGGTTCCCATGTGAACCAGCGTGCGTACGTGGTGCGACGCTGCCTTTCGCTCTTTTTGACACGTTTCTCCTAAGAATCCAACGGAAGTGCCCGAGGTTAACACGTTCAAGTGTGCGAAAGGCAGCGAGATGACGTGGTACCTATGGGAACCTCTCTGGGGTGCAGACGATACATTCTTACTCTAGCGTAGTAACGTGCGTGCGGATCCAACCGATGAAACCAATTTAAATGCCTACGCCATACGCGCGAAAGTGGCACGAAGCTCTAGTGTGGCAGTTGCGCAGATGTGAACCAAAAGTTATCTGGCAAGAGATGACAACATTTCAAATCGGCACACCAGCTATGTGCAGACTCGGGAATTGAACAAAGTTTCGATTCTCCAAAGTTTCGATTCTCTCAATCCCCTAGTTTAGATGCTTTGTGGCAAGAGGATCTTGCTCACGATCCGTCACAGTACGCGTTACAGACTCTAAGTTCGCAATGCATGTGGTCCGTTTTGATTCGACGTCAAGATGCGCTATTTCATCGCTTGGTGAATTTTAAAGATAAAACTTACAACTGTCCGCAGCCCCCACATTCATAGACGAACTTCGCTTCTATCTCGTAATCATGACAGCGTCCTATAATTGGAAGGGATCGAAAGCGCTGCATGCACTGGTTAGCCCTGAAATAATGGAGTCAGCGACATCCAGCGTCAGTGACTAATACTGCAGCATACGTAGATAATTTTGTAAGAAAATTGATGGCATTTACGGACTGCATTCAGTGAAAACGAATATGAACGACTGATAAAAAACAGCGCTAGTAATGACAATACGAGATCAACAGAAAAGAAACATACCATTGCTTCCAAATCGGACCATGTCCTTCCTTCATGCATCCGTCCACTATCCACACCGCTGCATGACAAAGTTCATGTATAAGGGTGTCGCGCACACGGTCTTTACATTAATAATTAGGAATAAGCAAGGAGATTTATTTGAACGACTCGCATACCTGGAGTAGTGCAGACCTTTGGAGAGAGTTCTATCCAGCTTGTGCGGTCTGATTTATTTCGGCATATCCCTGCCGTTTTGCGCAGTCTTGGATTCCACTTTATGTCAAGGAACTCAGGAAGCTAAAGATCTCTCTTCTCTGAGGTTGGAATTTTTGGATGACTACAGCTCTATGATGTCAACAGATATTATAGTGTTTTCATTAGATTGGTTGAAGGGAAGTGAGTCATTAAAACAAGACTGACCTCTTCTTTAAAGCATTCTCGGCGAAAGACTTCGAATAGCTTTCTCGTGAGCTCGGATCTTTTAGTCTCGTTTTTGATACCTTTCTTCACAAACACCTCTGCATCTGGATGTCGCTCACCCGAATATTTAGGTGAAAGGGAAACAAGGAAGTGCTCATTTTCATCAATCTAGAACAACTGTTTTTAGGTAAAAGTCAGCTAACTCTCTTTCGATCAAAAAGATGCCGAGTCACCTTTTCGTTCTTTCTTGCGAACACAGATGGACTCTTGAACGAATCTGCTATGTTTTTGAGCAATCTGTTCTCTAAATCAGGGTTCAAAGATCGTTGAAAAATTAGTCGCTCAGAAGTTAGTTGTATAAACATTAGAATAGTATAGAAAATAGATCTTGCTAAAAAACACTGATAACATACTTTTTGCAGTGGCGTCCTCTTCACTGTCGCTGCAACTAGTGTGCCATGATCTATCAGAATCTTCAATTTCCGCTTCACTATCTTCCGAGACATCGCTATCGCTCACGATGAAGCTGAACATCATCACTATTTTTGGCAATATGCAAAATGCAAGATAGCTAACCTTTCTTCGTGAATTGGTTTAGTAACTATTGTCTTCTTCTCTATCTCAGATGTGCGCAATTTCTTCAGGTCTAGTAAGAAATATTCAATAAGAGAATCTTCATCTACCTTAGGAAGTAGTAGTACATAGAATCGACTCGCACAAAAGTTAAGCAATCAAATAACTCACATAGTTCAAAATTTTCATCCTCCGATTCGCTAGATCCCTCCGAACCTTTTGCCGAATTAGGTTTAGTCTCGTCTTCATAAGCAGCCTGCAATGCAATAACATTTGAGGGCTGCAAAATTTTGTCGCTACAAGAAATAGCAACTCACCGCTTTGCTTGTGATTGGAGGTATGTTTACAGCAATATAATCTAGACTTTCATCCGCATCGACCGCTACGTTCGTCTCAAGATCATTAAACCCTGCAACTCATTTACAGTTGCCATACAAAACCCATGATTCTACGCTTACCTGCATCATCTCGTGCTTTCCTACTTGGTCCCGCCTGTAAAGATGTTATGAAATGAAAGAAGGGGGCCTAATATGTTGTAATGAATTCTTACTCTGGTGTGACGCAGTTCTATGCTTCTCTTACTTTTATTAGCCACTCCTTGTGACTCTTCACTCACATTTGTTGATTCCGAGCTTGAGGGAGAAAACGATGCGTCGTCTGAAAGGAAGAAAACATTGGATGTGCAAAATCGCCCTCAAATGGTAGCTTCGTTCCACGATCAGTTTAAGTTGATGAGAGGGATGAGATCAGATGGCATCGAATACTAATTTATACCAATTCAAGATCTATGTGAAATTCAAGAAATAACGTTACCAGTATAATATTCGTCATCGGATACTACGAAGGAATCAGTATCTACCGTAGAGCTGGTCTCACATTCTTGCTTGCCTACCTGTAAATTACAGAACATGTTATTAGTGGTAGGTTTCATTGATAAAGGATTATGCCTCTACAGTGCCTCCGAATCTAGCAAATGAATTTTAAAAGAGCCTTTCAGACTGATTTATCTGCTCGTAAGATTCGAAAACATATGTACAGAAAGAGAAGAAAATTACAACTCTTTACTCTCCTTAATACCCGACGATTTAAAAGATGGCATACCTCTCCAAGAACAGAAGCATCAGATTGATCATCAGACAAGAAGCTGTTGGACGCATCTCGTTCACTAAAAGAGTAACATAAGCAATGACTAACAGAGAAGGATACTTGGTGACCCCAGCCATCCATAATGGTTTGTATATCAAAAAATGCGTTTTTTAAAGCTGGTTCGAATACTGTTTTCCATATCTGCGAAGTGAGAATCTGGATGGAGTTATGATTATTTTTTAAAAAATGAATTGCGCTACCTACTGCGGACGGTAAAAATCATTAATAAAAAATTTTCTTTCCTCTTCAAATGCTGAATATGATTTAGATAGGTATAAGTACAACGTACACCTTTCAAGATTCTCCTCAATAGCTTCAAACGGTAAAATAGACCAAATTGAGTGATTTCAACTACTAAAAAGTACGAATATTTACGAAAAAAGTTCATAACTGTCTTCATATGGTTGTTTCGCAGATTTCGAACACAGATTTAGAATTAGCGCTTCGAGGTGCACCTTATGGTATACATCGCCTACCAAGTGGCCGAGGTCACCAAGTATCCTTGTTAGGTCATCTACTGTTTCCTCCAATATAACCAGCGTCGGTGAGACCGTGTTCTTTACATGTTCTTTACACTAGATGATGATTAGGATACAGCACGATTACGCTATCCTACAAAACTTGTGAAGATGTTCAAATGGCTAGTCTTTGGAGCTGTCGAAGAAATTACAACAGATGCGTATGTATCGACTTTTCGACTATAAAGCTGCGAAAACAATAAGGTATTGCATTTTCTGGCCTTTTGAACAAGCGGTAAAAGCACCAACGATGACACACTTTCTGCTTGCCTTGTCACGTAAACAGTGAAACAGTGACACTAACCTTCCTTCAGTGGAAGAATCATCCAAAACTACGATTCGTCTGTAATTACGCTGATTGTGTCGAAATGCTTCAGACGTCACGTTCGAGTGAGGCATTGGAGAGGATGCTGAAAGCACAATATAATAAAGTTGCATTAGTGGTACTAATATACCAAATACATAGAGAACAGAAGCAGAAAAACAAAAGAATGAATACATAGAAAGCTAAAAAGATTAAAAAGAGCTAATTCGCGCCATCTGCGTGAGCTATCGAAAGGGGCGCGCTTTTTCCCTGTTGCGCGTCTTACGTCATGCTTGTGAAGGTTTTGCAATGTTCACAGAGCTGTTTCGTAGAGTTTACAATAAAGTGGCTTCGTGGCTCTTACCTAAAAGTCACTTTCAACAGTACTACTTGGCTACAATTTTTTTCACCATATGACAGCTAGACTTAGCGTATGACTTCAGCGAACATTACGTATGGTTTGATTTTCGTGGTCAGGAGAATCTCTTCGAGCAGATTTGAGAGCAACGCAGGGTATACAAATTTTGGAGAAGGTCTAAACTCAAAAAGTCACTATATCTAATGCGTAGGATCCCACAACGCTTGTGTCCTGGGAATTCAAATGCCTTGCATGGTTGGATGGGGACCATTCATAAGGTTAGAATAAATTAGACCTAGTTTTAATTAGACAGTTTAGAGCTCGCTGGGTTAACTACACGGTACGCAAGTGAAGCGCAGTTTCAAACCAGTTGTTCCGTGTTTGAGGTAATTCCATATTTGACCACGCAACATACCCGTTTGACATACGCAGGAATGAAGAGATTGAAAGCTGAGTAAAGGCAGTCTTTACATTCCGAGCTTTCAGCTTCACTGCGTTCTCAGTTACACGAGCTCCTTGGCTTTCTTGGTCTGTATTAGAAATAGGTGCGAATTGAAGTACGATTTATAAGAAAACTGAACAAAGCAACGTCCCCATTGTGAAAATCATAACTTCACAGGGCTCGGCTAGCACTAATTTTTCTAATCTAAGATTTGAAATACAATGATTCATTGTAACAGTTTATAATTATCGCGACTTCACCTTAAAATTTCGGAACTAAAACAATCTACTTCTTCCTTTCGTGCTTTCGAATGCAATAGAAATTCGAGTGCTGCAACGAAACGCATAATTCTTCATCTGACAATATGGAAACGACCTCTCTAACAGCAAGATTACGTATTTTTCGGAGGAGGAGCGACAACAATCGGCATTGGCCTAATAAATTTATACGGTGTTCTAAAAAATGTGCACATTGTTTGATCACTAATCTCACCTGCCTCAATGTCCTTTCGCCGAATTCAAAGGCAGTGTCCGGGCAAAAAGCCGATTTTGAGACTTTATGCTTTCCTTGACACCGTGTGTATGTGGTCGATCGTGCTGAATCCTCTTCGAAACCCAGCTTGCTCGCATGGTTGTCCTTCGTCCAACTCTCTTCCGATCCTGTTGACAATGACTCGCGTAAAGAGTTTGTAGACTACAGACAACAAGCAGATAGGGCGATAATTGCCGATGTCGCAGGGATCTCCCTTCTTGTACAGCAACACGGTTTTGCTGGTCTTCCATTGCCTTGGAACCTTGCCTTCCGTCAGCTACCGCTTGAAGAGCCTTGCCAAAGTCTTGTTGAGAACTGGCGAAAGATTCTCCAGATGTTCTGGCTCAATCCTGTCGGGACCGGGTGCTGTACGGTTTTTCATCGACATGATAGCATGACGAATCTCGGAAGGAAGAACAGACGGTGCGACATACTCGTCCTCCTTGAGATGGCATGGTGGAAGGTGGACGTGGCTCGCAAAAAGATCCGAGTAGAAGTCGTGGATGACCTTCTCCATTGATCTTCGGGAAGCAGTTATGGTTCCGTCAGGACGACGAAGTGCGGTCATCTTTGTCTTGAAGTTGACGAAGCTTCGGCGGGCGTTGCGTATACTTCTCCCAGCCTCCGCGGCGTCAACCATCACTGCTACTCTTCTCTCCTTAAGGTCTTCTTTTATCGCTTCTCTGCATCGCTTCGCAAGCTCGGACGTCAGTCGGTAGTTGCCTATGGCTCGTGCGCGTCCACGTTGGCGTATCAGCTCCAACGTCCCCGTGGTGAGACGCCTTCTCGTACTTCTTAGACTCTGAGCTTCCTTGGCACAACCGTGGAGATGTTGTACGAACCGTTCGTATTCTTCGTCGATGTTGTCCATCACGGTATCTCGCCATGAGCCGGATATCGAAGAAAACAGATCCCAGTTGGTGGTATTCATGGGACGATGTTTCCTGAACTTGACGGCTCTCTCTCCATTCCGCGGAAAGTAGAATTTGGCGCGCAGGAGACGATGGTCTGATCCCGTGTAGAACTTCGGAACAACAGCGACGTCCGTCAGGCAGTACCTTCTGTTGACGATGATGTGGTCAATCTCGTTATGGTACTCTCCACCGGGCGATTCCCAGGTCCAGCGTAGGGAAGAGGGCTTTTGGAACTGTGAGTTTCCATGGATAGTCCTCGTCGTCATGATAAACTCGGACAGTCTCTCCCCTTGTTCGTTCCACTGCAAACCGTGGGTTCCGACGTGAAGTTCCTCAGTCGTCCTTCTAGTTCCGATCTTCGCGTTGAAATCACCGACGATGATCTTGTAGAAGGTATGATCTTCTCTGTAGAACTTCTTCAAGTCCATATAAAATTCCTCGAGTTCGTCCTCGTCGTAGCTGGATGTTGGGGCGTACGCAATGAAGACGGTCAAGGCAGGGATTGATCCACATCTTGATATTCGCAAACGTCCGATTCGAGTTGTAAGTTGTTCGAACGAATCGATGTTCAAGGCCAAACTCGTGTTGACAAGGACTCCCACTCCACCTACTCCTCGACTGTCGCATGTTCCTAGAAACAGTTCTTCTCCAGTCTCAAATGTGGCGTTCAGCGGGTGGTGCCTCCTTGTCTCGGTCAGTCCGATGACGTCGTACTTAATCTTCCTTGCTTGCATCATGAGATCTTCGATAGATGCGTCCGGTGCCAGCGTCCTCGCGTTGTAAGTACAGATCGTCATCATAGTCCGTCTCGTTTTCGGCAGCCTAGATCGCCTTTCAAACCTTGTCCCCACTGGCGCTGCCTTACCAGTGGCTCTTCCAAGATTAAAGGAGCTTTCCATATTATCACTGTGTCGAACAAAAATTACTCGCAGGGATAGCTTGTTGGGCTCAAAACCCCCGCGAGGGACGATCGGAGCTTATTTGTTGGAGGCGACTCCGAACTCGCCTCCCCACACACCTACCCGGGAAATTAGGGCGCAAGCTTTTAGTGGAGGCAGGGAGTCCGTCCCCCGGCTCCGCTTGCTTATCAGAGCAGGCGCGGGGTCGCTTTTGGTCGGCGATTATCCCCCTATCCGCCACCTGGGGACGCCCCACGTAGCCTCGCGACTAACCGGCTGTGATCCCTCTATGAGGGAGATCCGATCCGAATTCACAGTCCCGGTTTTCGGAGCGATCTTCTCGATCCCGCTAGCCCTCCTGACATCTATATAAGCCAGGTGCGAATGCATGACATGAAATTGGAACCGAGAAGATCGCTCTAGAAGCTGGGACCGCGAAATTCACGGTGGGGAAGACCCCGCTCACTTCTGATTTCCCTCCTGTTAGGGCCCCTTTTCACCGTTTTCGCGCTTTCTAGTGTGGATTTTCGGATTCAGCATAGCAAACAGGCCCGGGTAAGTACAGAATCTCAAAATCGACTTCTTGCCCGGACACTCCTTTGACTGTAATGTGGTGAGTAGTTAGTATGCCAGCACGAAGTTAGTAGTTTGTTGTTAGTAGTGGCGTCCTAACGTTTCGACGATTTCGTCTTCTTCAAAGGCCTAAAGTGGTAGGAAATTTAGATCTTATGCTCTACCCCACCACAAACCTCCTCCACCCCCGGCCAGCCTCGATTCCACCCCCGAATGTTACAAAGAAAAATACTCAAGTACGCAAAAGACGAACTGACCTCCTCCGCCGCTGCCGCTCAATTGGATGGTGAATGCGGCCGTCCTCGAGTGCCACTAGTATGGAATATAGTGTATACCAAATTGATATTAATCAGTGGCATTCCTCAGCTCACATAATGCCATAAAAGGCATAAAGTCATTCATGATTGACGCGCACTCATTTCGGTTGTTATGCATGGATTTCTTGCAAAAATCCAGAATGCCTCGAGAGCTTTTCTACTAGCAGTATCAGACTGGTATGCCGGTATAGTGCACGTAATTTCGAAGTCTTTACCACAATAGAATTCAACCCTATGTTTACCAAGCGGTGTGGTAAGACATCCCCGTCTCTTGCTGGCAAGATGTTCTTTTATCCTTACCCAAAGCGGTCTCCCAGTCTCTCCGACATCGCCGCACTAGTCTCGTCAGAAACGAAAGGATGGCAAAGAGGTACTTTCGGTTGGTGCTGATTGCTATGAGTGGAAATGGATGGTCTTTTGCGTCCTTTTTGGGGCGCGTAACCATTCATTCGAGCAATCTCCAGCTCTTTACGATACCATTTCACACTCGCAGCGCCGTTGAACAGTTTGATTTGTACGTTAAGAAAGGGGAGCCAACAATTTTTCGGTTGCTGCCGCGTAAGCTTTATGTGCTGTGACTGTTGATTAGAGTAGTCGAAAAACTCATCCATTTCGGATTGTGTTGATGTTATGACGCAACAGTCATCGATGTAACGACAACACATAAGAGGCATACGTGACAGCACTGGTTCTTCTATTCTGCTCATAAAGCAGATCGCCAGTACTGGAGCTAGTCTTTGTCCCATTGCAAGACCTCTTAGTTGAGTATAGTATATTCCTGACCATCGAAAGATGTTACAGGAAAGGCATTCTTGGATTAGGAGCATAACCGATCTTGTACCCACCCACCAAAGCTGTCCAACATTTCCGAAACTGCCTGCAGAGCATCACCATTTTGAACATTCGTGTGCAGAGACACGACATCAAAAGATTCTGCTATACATTGCGTTTGCAAAGTAGTGTTGCGAAGGCGTTCCAAGAATGATTTGTATTGGGTAAATGAGACGGAACTCTGTCCAGAAGCTGATTAACAATCTTATTCAAGAACCAGGAAATTCGGTCGGTTGGTCTCCTA